TTTTAATAAAACTGAAAAATCAGAATCTGATGTAGTGTATTGGGGGAATGATTTCAATCAAAGTTAAGAGTCTTTTTTATAGGTGTCCACTTTTACTTTTAGTTAAACTTTCATGTTTGTTCTTTAAATTCTTTGAATAGCCTTTAAAATCCAGGGCTTTAGCTCCGCCACATTAGCATAGACTCCTGGATATTTGGGATGAGCGCAGTTCATTCCAAAGGATACGATGCCAACAAGTTCACCATTAGAGACAAGAGGACCGCCAGAATCCCCAGAGCAGGAATCTTTTCCCGGAGCGGCGGCACAGATCATTTCCTTGGTGATAAATCCGCTATACGACCTCTGGCACTTATTGCGATCAACAATATCGACTGAGACACCGTGTAAGGCTTTGGAGATTGGCCGTTGAAAAGCAATAGATCCCCATCCGGAAACCGATGCAGAAGATCCAGTTGCAGGGGAACTTTCGGCCAAAGGAATGGACCTGACGGCAGTGCCCAAGCTGAGTTTAGACTGAAGACGAATCACGGCTATATCGTTGGCCAAACTCTTGTCATAACTCTCGTGCCCCAGGATCTTTGATACCTTCACCACCTGTCCACCGTATCGGGTGTACGATGAGCCCACTCTCACGGAAAAGGCACCGGCAGAGGCGCCTTTAACACAATGAGCAGCCGTTATGATGATATCTGAACTGTAGATGACGGCACCGCACCAATGCTTGCCGTACTTTTGCAAGGATGCCTGCCAAGGCACTGATCGAATTGATATCGAGTTACCTCCCACAATTCGTTCCGGAAGAGAATGACAGGAAGTCAGAGTCACGCTGAAGATAAGAAGAATCCACTGAACAAACATTTTGAACTGGAGTTATGATAAAGAATGTTTTTTTTCGAAGGTGAGCAGCTTTTTTTATAGTTAAAACTTGGTTGTAAATGGAATTCTATTTATGCTTGCTTTGTAATTCAAAAATGTTAATGGATTTTGTTAAGCAACAAAGGAAAACTAATTACTGGAAGGCTAAGGTATGATACTTGGTATCTAAGCAAAATATAACATAAATCGTTGGAAAACCTTAAAATAAAAAGCAATTCAACTTTTAAAAGTGACTGTAAATTTCTTATTTTTAGAATATTTACAGATCTCCGTTAAAGATTGGAAATATTATGTTAAATTACCTTTTACTTCTATATAAACCGTTGCACTAACCAATATGTAAACTTTTGTTAATACAAAAATTATAGTTTTTACTGATTTTAGTTTCTCAATGTGAAAGAAGAATCTCCGTTCTTTAAAAGGTTTATTTGGGCTTACCAATAATACTACGGTATAATTTGCTTAGCTGCCTCGATACTTAGCCGCATCGTCAAGATAGCTGCCTGATATTTTCATTTTTCTGCATCATGGTCACTTTACTACGAAAATAATTACGTTTGGTGCACCCAACTTAGCAGCCTTCTGCACTTAAGCGCCTCATATCGGCAGAATTTTTTATGGTTTTCTATGAAAATCATGTAAGTTAGCTGCGCCATCTATTGAGAACGAGCCAATTTTCTTAAATAATTTCTAGGCAGTATGGCAAAAAAAAAAACATACTATTTTAAGAATTAACAATGAAAATATAAACTATATACAAGTTGAAATATGTATTAATATTTTGATATCAATAATTTAGACATTGAAATGAAAATATAATTTGGCTAAAAAAGATACAAAATATAAATGTACTTCATTTGAGCTATAGGTAAACTTTTTTTTGTTCAAAAATTAAAATTAAGATCGCTGCATTTTTAAGATAGCTGCCTCAAAGTTGCGTGCAAATTACTCGAGGCAGCTAAGCAAATTATACTGTACTACAAATATTAAATTATATTATACAAATATTATTAATTTGATTTCCAAAATATAACTGTAAAAACGTTAATCCCATCTCATTCCATTTTCTAGAATTAGCTGGATATTATTAACCTTTAATCCCTTAGATTATTGACTTAAGATCCATAGAAGTAAAACATTTTGGAGCACTCTGAATGCAAACATCCCTATCCCAAGAAGTGGAAGGTTAATGATGATTATAATATGGTTTTCATCATCAGAAATTTTCTGAAAAAAAAGGCGATTTACTAAGCCTGGCCAGTAGGTAAACAATGTAAGAAAATGGTAAAATAATTTGCTAACAATTAGTGACTCTGTCAACGATCTGTAAAATTCTGTCACGATTTGAAATTTTTGGTTTATGAACAAGTATAAGCCATATTTAATGGGCGTTAAAATGGGCGTGGCCGGATGAAAAACCAAACGTGCGCGGCCCAGGCTTTGTACTAGCCTCCAGTTACACTTGTTTATGACCTAAACTTTTAAAAGCCTTTAAAAAATAATTTTTAAAATAATAAGTTAAAAAAACTTTTTGGATTTGATTTATACAAATGCTCTTGTGAATATTTATTTATTATATATATATTTGTACATTTTTCAAATAGAATTAATGGCATTTAAAATCCATTTTTTAAAGAAAGGTACACTGATGTAAGAAGAAGTGGCAGTGCAAGTACCGTAGACTATAGAGACAACACCGACTAGTTTTTGGTCCACAACCAATGGACCACCAGAATCGCCAAAGCAAGCGGCTTTGTTAAAATTGCCGGCGCAAATATAATCATCATGAAGTCCTATGCACTTATGAATAGGAACGACTATGCCTTGAAGATTTCTAGGATATTTCCGCGGAGTATTGCTAGTAACTGAAGTTGCTCCCCAGCCAGTGGAAAATGCAAAAGTTCCAGAAGGAGGGTTCACGCCGGCCAAAGGGATTGGCCAAACTTTCTTGGAAAACTGAAGTGGTTTACTCAGTCGTACGATGCCGATGTCGTTTCGTTTCGTTATAAAATTAAACTCTTCGTGATATTTAAGGGCGGCCACTTCGATTAGATCTCCTCCAAAGTCAATAAATGTGGATCCTGCGCGAATAAGCAAATCTTTGGGCTCAAGTCGTTCTTCGCCTATTGTAAAAAGACAGTGGGCAGCCGTAACGATAATATCTTTGCTATAAATGGAACCACCACAAATTTGTTGCTTTTGTATGAGTAACAACACCTGCCAAGGTGCCTGTTCGATTCTAATAGAGTTTCCACCGGAAATGCGTTCTTCCGGCTGGAATACTGGTTCTGCAGACAGGAAGTTGATTGCCTGTAGAAGGAAGAAGCACTTGATGAACATCTTGACCAGCTTGGACAAATTCTTGAACCACAATGAGCTCTCCACCGTGAGAAGAAGGGTTTTATAGGCTACAAATGGCAATTTCCTTTTTAAGATTATCGGTAATTTCTACAAGAATATTTCTCTAAGATAAGAAAATAGAAAAAGTCAAAATCTATTAAGAAAGGAACTCGCTAATCATATAATTTTCAATAAACCCTAAAAGTTATGTTTTCACGAGCGTTAAAATTGAGTTTTTCTAGTCAACAACAATGTATTATATTGCTTTGTTACTTTGTATTTCTTTAAAGCTTAAAGAGTTGTGTAAAAAGATCCATCACCTTAAGTTTTTTTGACATTTTTAATTTTCTTATCTTTAAGAAAGTCAAAAATACTTACATAAGGATAGCATTTTCATTATTTTTTTTATATAATATCACAAATTTGAATGCCATGCGAAGCCTATAAAACAGTTGCTCTAGCCATAGAGAACTCATTGTGATCCAAGGACTTGACCAAGCTGGTCAAGATGTTAATCAAGTGCTTCCTGCTTGGCATTCAACTTCCTGTCTGCAGTAGTAGAACCCCAGACCGAAGAACACATTTTCGGTGGCAATTCTATTAGAATCGAAGACGCTCCTTGGCAGGTGTCAATAGAAGTAAGGAAACGACATTTTGTGTAGGATCTATTTACAGCAAGCATGTCATCATTACTTCTGCCCATGGTTCGGCCGACGACTTGAGACCAAAGATTATCACATTCGAGCAGGATCCGCATTGGTCGTCTCCGGAGGAATTTTATTTGGGGTGGCAGCCATTAAAACCCATGAAGATTTTAATTTTGTAAGGAATCTGAGTGACATTGCCGTCATGTGACTGAGTAAGCCACTTCAGTTTTCCGATCAAATTCGGGCTATACCTTTCTCCTGCTATTGGGACTGTTTCATTCGCATCTGGCGGTGGAGAAATGTTGGATTATGAGGCTATGAAGAAGAAGTCACCGGCAATACTTTTGTAGTCAATCATTAGATGTCATTTTTACCGGCTACAATGGACACAGCAGTGGTTATGGCGATTCTGGTGGACTTGGGGGTGTCTTCTTAGGCCAGAATGAAAATTGCACCAGTATTTCTTCTACAAATGAATTTTATATGCCATTAATACTGTTTAAGAAATGTACAAAAAATTAATATTTCCCAGAATTTGTATATAAAAGCAAACTAAGATGGTCTTTAATGAGTATCGTTTTATAAAATATTTTTAAGTATTATCGTTATCGAAGATGAAAGAAAGAAAGATAATTTGAATATAACGGCCATTGTGTGCCTTTCGTACCTAGTTGAATGTCTCGTTTCTAGTTCGTTCTTAGTTCGGTACATTCTCATCACTGCTGCCAATTCGGCTTTTTTCCCGTCAAAACTGACTTTTTTTTTAATGCTAACCGCAGCAAAAAATAATGAATTGCGGGAAGCGGGAATGCGGGAATTCTGACTTTTTTTTAAATTCATTTTGTAAAACAGTTATTTTTCCTCGTCAAAAGTTGCCAGCACTGATTCTCATGTTATGCTAGTACGAGTACGAACAGATAATTTTAACTAGATGTAAAGAGTAAGTGCGACAAAGCTATTTTTAGCTGTACGTGATCCATTGAGTTACTTAGTAAGTGAGAGCGAAGGGAATGACGATAGTTGTGCAGCCGAATTGCGTAGCTGTGTTACTCCTATATAAGAGGAAGCGAAGAGAAAGAGCAGACACAAAGGACACTGGGTGAGAGACAATCGTTTTTGTGAGGAGCATAGCCAGTACCATGGCCAAGTTTGGTTTTTCCCATAGAACTTTTTAGATTCCTGCAAATACAGATTTCTAAAGAACTGTAGAGTTTTATAGCCAAAAAAAAGTTATGGCGACCAGGAGGTTTATGGTCAGACAAAGAGTAGGCTTCAATTTCTGTAGAAAAAAAATAAAAATATATTTTGAATATTGTTTTCTGTGGTTTGATTTACCAAAAACAATTTGCCTCGTTATGGCCTTTATTCTTTAGGGTTAAGCAGTAGCAGTTGATTAAGTGAAAAGTGCATAGATTTAGCATAAAAATCAAGTCAAAGTTACCAATGTTACCAGTTACCAATGAAAGAAATTGTTTTACACTCTTGCCATGTTAAAATATTTATTAAAAATTTCAATAAATTTGTGAATAAAATCATATGTTAATAATTAAATTTTTCATACTATAATTTTTCTCAAATAATTTTTATAAAAAAGTGTACTCTTTAACGATTTTACAAATGTTGAATAGTTTCAACGATCCAAGGCTTTAGTTCAGCCACATTAGCGTAAACTCCGGGAAATTCTGAAAGAGCACATCCCTGTGGGCCGAAAGAAACAATGCCAACCAGCTTTCCATCGGATACTAAAGGACCGCCAGAGTCACCTCTGCAGGAATCCTTGCCTGGGGCAGAGGCACAAATCATGTCTTTGCTAATTCTTCCTCTGTAGGAAGACATGCAGGAATCTCGATCCACTATAGCCAACGTGGTTCCAAGGAGAGTGGTGGAATCTTTTCCATGATATTCGATTAATCCCCATCCAGAAACAAAAGCCGAAGATCCAGGTTGCGGGGAACTATCGGCCAATGGGATGGATCTGACGCCGAAGCCCATGATAAGATTGCTTTGAAGTTGGATCACAGCTATGTCATTGGAATATTCAAAAGACCTGCCAAAGGACTCATGTTCAAGGATTTGTGATACCTTCACCACTTGACCACCGAAACCGGAAATGGAAGATCCCACTCTTACGGAGAACATATAAGGCGGGTTACGTTTTGTACAGTGGGCAGCCGTTAAAACGATTTTCTCACTATAGATGACGGCACCGCAGAAATGACCTCCAAATTTTTGCAGCGAAGCTTGCCAGGGAACCGATAGAATGGACACCGATTGTCCTCCCACGATGCGCTCGGGAAGACCTTTGGATGAGATCAAAGCAGCGCTGCAGATCAAGAGAATCCACTGGACGAACATTTTGAACTGGAGTTGGAGTGATTAGTGGTTATCAGGTCTGGGATCCAATCTTTTATATGCATTGGGTTTCCTTAGGTATTCGCATTCCGACTTAAGAAAATACTTAAGAATGTTAATTAATGTTTTAAAATTAGCTTTCCAATAAGGTTTTCAATTAAGGTTTAAATTGAAATCCTTAAAATAGAATTTCCGATAATAATTATAATTTATTAAGCGTGTTTCCTTTAGTTTAAGTCATAGTTTATTTTTACACGCAACTTTAGTTTATACAAATGTTAGTTAATATAATTATCTAAATTGCTTTAACTTTAAATGGCTTTACCCATTTTTCATTATTTTAAGTTCGCCAAACACAAGAAGTAGTAGTCATGGCATTAAATTAGCTTACAAATTAATATTTTGTTTCGTTACTCTGCTTAGGCACTCAGAACTTCTGCCTAAGCAACTCACAGTTTTTATACGAATAATTATAAATGTCTTTGATTTTAATTAGAAAGCTTAAATGCATATGAAAAGCGTTTTTAAAATGTATCGATTTTCGGTTTTAAAATGATTGTCAATATATTAAAGTTGAAGTAAATATCTTACAATGAAAACTCCTAAAGCTATCGTCTTTTTGTTAATTTAAGAAAATTACGATGTTATACAAGATCAAACGAAGACATACATACACTATAATATGGACGCCACAGTTTTCCGCAATAGCAGAAATTTCAAACCGATTTAATGGCATTCAGGATCCACGAACGATATTGAGCTACGCTGGCGAAAAGTCCAGAGGACAAACATAAAAACTCTCTACCACGTGAGGTGATCCCCACTAGCTTTCCATCAACGACCAAGGGTCCACCGAAACCGCCGTAGCATGTGGCTCCAAAAAAAACCTCCAGCACAAATGTCTTCGTCGGGCCGCCACAATATTAAAAACCCTTATCTTCTATAACCCTACGTGGTCCCTAAAGTTGCTGAGTAGGTGAGAGTGAAGGGGATGACGATAGTTGTGCAGGCGAATTGCGTAGCTTTCATGCTCGTCACAAAAAATATAAGAGGAAGAAAAAGAAAAGAATAGTCACTCAGAAAGCCAGTCACCGGGAGCAAGCTCAAGGGAACTCATTTTGTGTATTAAGTCACAAAAGGAAACCGAACATCAACAGCGACGAAATGTACGACGGTCTAAGCCCGACCCCGCATAACATGTATATACATACATATGTATAATATATATTTGAGATCCGCGAGATTCGCTTGAATCATATAGTACATGTTTATTCCAATGGCAATCGCAACGTCAGACCTAAATATCATATTAAACACTTACTTTCAATTTAAAGACAACCGTTTACATTAATATAGCCACAAAGGACACTAGGTGATAGACAAACGTCCTTGTGAGGAACACAGGCCATACCATGGGCTTTTCCAGTATCCAAGCTTGTTTATTACTCACAAAAATTGATAAGTTCCTTGAAATTAAGTCCATCAAAAAATGCAGTAGGCAGTAGCGGATCATTAAGTGAAAATTTAATAAATTTAGTATAAAAATCAAGTCAAAAATGTTACAAAAACTCAAAATTTTTTTTACATTGTTGTCATGGTAAAATATTTATTAAAGATTTCCATAGATTTTTAAAAATAAGTAAACCATATTATTTAAAGTTTTCATATTACCATGTATGTGTTATCTTTAACGATTTTACAAACGTTTAATAGTTTTAACGATCCAAGGCTTTAGTTCGGCCACATTAGCGTAAACTCCGGGATATTCTGAAAGAGCACATCCCATCCCGAAGGAAACAATGCCAACCAGTTTTCCATCGAATACTAAAGGACCGCCAGAGTCACCCCTGCAGGAATCCTTGCCTGGGGCAGAGGCACAAATCATGTCTTTGCTAATTCTTCCTCTGTAGGAAGACATGCAGGAATCTCGATCCACTATAGCCACCGTGGTTCCTAAGAGAGTGGTGGAACCTTTTCCATAAGATTCGATTGATCCCCATCCAGAAACAAAGGCCAAAGATCTTGGTTGTGGGGAACTGTCTGCCAATGGAATGGAACTGACGCCGAAGCCCATGATGAGATTGCTTTGAAGTTGGATTACAGCTATGTCATTGGACTCTGCAAAACCCCTGCCAAAGGACTCATGTTCAAGGATTTGTGATACCTTCACCACTTGACCACCGAAACCGGAAATCGAAGATCCCACTCTCACGGAGAACATATAAGGCGGCTTACGTTCTGTACAGTGGGCAGCCGTTAAAACGATTTTCTCACTATAGATGACGGCACCGCAGTGATGCCCTCCAAACTTTTGCAGCGAAGCCTGCCAGGGAACCGATAGAATGGACACCGATTGTCCTCCCACGATGCGCTCGGGAAGCCCTTTGGAGGAGATCAAAGCAGCGCTGCAGATCAAGAGAATCCACTGGACGAACATTTTGAACTGGAGTTGGAGTGATTAGTGGTTAACAGGTCTGCGATCCAATCTTTTATATGCGTTGGGTTTCCTTAGGTATTCGCATTTCGACTTAAGAAAATACTTAAGAATGTTAATTAATGTTTTAAATTTAGCTTTCCAATAAGGTTTTCAATTAAGGTTTAAATTGAAATCCTTAAAATAGAATTTCAGATAATGATTATAAGATATTAAGCGTTTTTCCTTTAGTTTAAGTCATAGTTTATTTTTACACGCAACTTTAGTTTATACAAATGTTAGTTAATATAATTATCTAAATTGCTTTAACTTTAAAGGGCTTTACTCATTTTTCATTAATTTTAAGTTCGCCAAACACAAAGATATAGTAGTCATGGCATTTATATTTAAAATAAGTTTACAAATTAATATTTTGTTTCGTTACTCTGCTTAGGCACTCAGAACTTCTGCCTAAGCAACTCACAGTTTGTATACGAATAATTATAAATTTCCTTGATTTTAATTAGGAAGCTTAAATGCATATGAAATGCGTTTTTAAAGTATGGATTTTCAGTTTTAAAATTAGTTTTAATATATTAGAGTTCAAGTAAACATCTTACAATGAAAACTCCTAAAGTTATCTGCTTTTTGTTTATGCTAAAAAATTACAAAGTGCAGATTTCTCTTAGTAGTTACTAGCATTACTAAAGTAAGAGATTATATTACAAAAATATCGTTTGCATTTTCATTGTAAGTATTTTATCTGAGAAAAATATTAAAAATAAGGATTGGTTCTAGTTTATACCTTTGCACTATGTGGAATTTGAGCCGTTTTTGTGCCCAATATTAATATTTTTAAAATGAAAAAATCGCAAAAAACGCACAACGAGCTTATATATTCTGAATTCTGAATTGAAAAATGTACAACATGTGTTTGTTGATACAGTTGAAACTTTTTTAAAAACCTTTGCAAAGTTCAACGTTTTTTTCCAAAAGTGACAAGGGGACACCACTTGCCAAATATACAAATTGTTAAAAAAATACGAACGAAACACACAACGTATTAGTATAAAAAAAGTATTAACCTTTAGAATCAATATTCAATTTGAAATATGTAGATTATTTAATGATTTTTTCTAAGAGATATGCCAATTTGAAGTTGCACCACAAAATTAACCTTTTTAACAGCACGACTTTAACAGCTTGTATTTTAACAGTAAAATGTTAAATTAACATTTTATGTATGTAGCATAGCATTTTGATCATTTCTTAACATGGTAAGATTGAAAACACGGATATTTGCATACTTTCGAAAAATGAGTTTTGGCCACAAAAACGGGTCCAATTCCATATAGTGCTTTGGAGCCACAAGTTTGGGCAACAAAAATCAGTATCTTAATCCAAAACAAGAGGAAACGATATAGTCGAGTGCCGCGACTATAAGATACCCGTTACTGTATTACACAATTTTAAAATATTCATTTTGCTAGTGGAAATATCCAAAGCGCCACCTATTGTTGAGTAGCTTGCGCTGCGTCAGGACCTCAAGAATCACCCTGTTTAAACTGAACTCAGTATTTGTTATATTTCCTGAGATCTCAGCGTTCATACGGACAGACGGACGGACGGGCAGATGGACGGATGTGGCTTATTCGACTTCGCTATTGATACTGATCAATAATATATATACTTTATAGGGTTGAAAACGCTTCCTTCTACCTGTTACATACTATTCAACGAATCTAGTATACCCTTTTACTCTACGAGTAGCGGGTATAATTATCAAAGAAAGGGAAAGGGAACAAGTAAATTGTTACATTTTTGAAATGGTAAATAAATTTAAAAATATAACATAATAATAATATAATATAATTTTATTTATCTGATCCTTTATTTCATTATTTTAAAAACGAAAAGTACAAATTGATTAACATTTAGTTGCAAATTTTCTTTTTAATTCGGAGTACAGCACAACAAAGTGCAGCTACTAACAAATATAACTGCAATATCAGAAATTTCAAACCGATTTAATGGTATTCAGGATCCACGAACGATATTTAGCTACGCTGGCGAAAAGTCCAGAGGAGAAACATAAAAACTGTCTACCACGTGAGGTGATCCCCACTAGCTTTCCATCAACGACCAAGGGTCCACCGGAATCTCCATTGCATGGGCCTCCTAAAGCGCTTCCAGCACAAATGTCATCGTCGAGCAGTAAGTATGGGTATTTTATTTTACACCATTCCCACGATCTGATGGCCAGTTTGACTCCCTGAAGATAATCGGGATTATAAAAAGGCGTTAAGCCCCAGCCTGTGGCTAATCCCAGTGACCATTCGGCCGGATCCTGCTCAGCCAAAGCAATTGGTTGAATGGTATTGGAGAAAGTTAGTGGATTCCGTAATTTAATAACAGCAACATCACTGCGAAAGTCCTTTCTGGTGAACCTTTCGTGATAACGAAAGTTTTCAACTTCCACCAAAACACCTCCGCTTTTATGGTTAGAGGATCCAGCTCGAATTTCGATGTCCCCTATCCGTTTGTTTTCAACACAGTGTGCCGCAGTTATGATAATAGTTTCACTGTAGATGGATCCCCCGCAATGAAACTTGCCCAAATAGTGTAGGGACACCTGCCAAGGAACTTGAGTGATGTTTATATTCCTTCCATGAGTTATACGTTCAACTCCAGAAACTCCAGGAGCCCCAGGAACACTTAGCAAAGCTATTGCCAAGAGCAGATAATGCCCAATATTGAAAACCATTCTGACTTTCTTCTTATTGTGCTTAGTTCAGTTTGTTTTTACTACATGAAATACTCCGTTTATATAGTCTTTTCTTTTGGGATGTTACATAAAACTAATGAAACGAAATAACTTAATTATTATTTTCTTGACAAAAATTAAGTTTCGATTAGAAAAAATAATAACTAGAGATAGAGCAATTGGCTTGGTTACTAAGTTTTAGAATTCAATATTTTATCTGTTTCTTTGCTTATGTACTTTTCCAATTATTACCAGTAAGAAAATGTCTTCTCATTTGTCATTTTCAAAAGCTACTTTAATATTCTAATACCAGCCAGCCCTTCTAATTTATTAATTTACAACATTGTAAACTCAACCAGTAACAAAGCGATTTTGAGATTAGTTGGCCCTTCGGAATGATTTGTTCTTCATTAATAAATGCATTGTGTTTTCTCACTGACATCGACTTGCCTGTCGGCAACATAAAATTGCATTAATCATACGCAACGTGAACTGCATGGCGTTGTACTCGAAATTCTATCACAGATTTCCTCCACTTCTTGGCGCCCGAAGCATCCATCAAATTAATGGAATTTCATATTTGCTTGGCTCTTGCTCGTTCGCCGAAGAAATTTGTTTATTCAGCTAAAATGCTATCGAGTTTGTAACCCCCCTTTTTACCCGCCTGATGTAGCTAGTTCTTTTAGCCAAACGTAGTTTATTTTTTTTTTAATAATTCTTTTTTTTTTTAATACAATTACTTTCCAGACTTTTGAACAGCATAGTTGAAAATGGCCCGTGGCCATGGTGCTGCAGGCTATGAACAAAAGCAATTTGGAACGCTGACTCATAACCAATGTGGCCGCAGAAACAAGTTAGTTTGAAAATTTTATTGAATTAAACCAATTTGGTATGCAAGTAGAGGAAATTCTCATTGGGATTAGGAAGCTATTTTAATCCAGAAACACTGGAAAAAACAACTAATGGGTCTTCCAACTTTGAAATTAGTTTAAAAATCCTTTTTTCCCACTTTAATTTTTTTAATTTTAAGCAATATTTTAAAAAGAAAAGAAACACTGGAAAAAACAACTAATGGGTCTTCCAACTTTGAAATTAGTTTAAAAATCCTTTTTTCCCACTTTAATTTTTTTTTTAATTTTAAGCAATATTTTAAAAAATCATCATTAAAATCCAGTAGAACTCCCAGGAAAAGAGAAGCTCAAATAATATCATGGAAATGTATTTCTTTTCATATGAATTTTCACCCCAGTGCAGCTTAAATTCCAAACACGTTTTCCTCCTCGAACGCAGTTTCGATGTTTTAAACGCTTTTCCGGGCCAAAATTCGCATAGAATGCAATCAGATAGTCAGCCACTTGACTCTGGGTCAAAATGCCCAACGGGCTGTTGTCCTTGTCAACAACTAACGCCTTTTGGGGGTCGAGGTGAGAACGGGATCTGTGGGAGTTGGCCCAAGCCAACTGTGAATTTTAGCCGGCGTTTGGTGAAGCTAATTTGGCCTGGCATCCCATCGAATGCTGCCGTTCAGCTGGCAAGTGAAGTGGCCTCCTCCAGCTGAGCATTGCACTTGCCCAATTAAACTCGACCAGAATCTGGCTAAAGCCCTTGACATGGCCTGCAGATGGGAGTTACTGCAGCCGGAATGGTCATTACTCATAGTTATGGACACTAATCTGATGCACTTGGAAAAGTAGTTTTACTCGAACTTTTTAACTTCTTAAAGGTTTAAGTGATTATTGAAGAAAAGATTTAGCGTTTAAAAAGAATGTTTTCTGTATCTTTAGTGGTTGAAGATTTACCTCAATTGCTTGTTTTCTAAAGTTTTCTTTATTTTTCCAAAGAAAGTTAGCTAAGATATATCCCAACTATCGTCTGGATTTATAAGTATATTAAAGCTGCCAACACTAATCTCGCTACCTGCTATGCTAAATTTCAGTGCAGGCCGCAATTGAATGATAACACAAGCAGCAGCTGCAACGTTAAAAATAAATTGGCCAGCGAGCGACCAAACGACTGCGTGTCTGCTGAGCTCCCGATTTCATATCCAGAGGATGGACTCTGTTCACCCATTTTCCGCTTTTCATAGCACCACCCGCCCCTTTGCTAAATCTGTAGGCATTTTTGGCAGCAAATTGAAATGAAAATCTCGCCGCGGTTTTCTGGCTTTGTTCGACGGTTTTGGCCAGCGGACGAAATCTGTTGGCTGGCTGATAAAGAAATGATGGCGGAGAGAGAGAAACCTGGTTTTCATTTAGCTTCTGAAGAGTTCTCATTAACATGGATAAGGGGGGGAAAAATAAAAAACTAAATTTTAAGGATTTCATTTAATATGTTTTTGGTTATAATTCATACCTTATCATAGTTGTTTTTATGAATAATTTGAATTACATTAAAACTGATATATAAAATCTCTGTGAAATAGTTTTATAGAACCGCCTCTCACATCCTCATAATAGCCCTCTTCCCGGCTTCCCGGCAATCTGCGATCTATTCATATCGTAAAATAGAAATGCAACTGCGACCAAAGCACCGCAAAACTATTGCCAGCGATGGCTTCCTATTCCAGGATATACGCAGCCATTTCCGGCGCCATAGCTGCCAGCTTCCGTTTTACCTTTCCATTACCCTTTTAGCCTCTCTTCCTCTCCATCTCTTTGGCACTTTGATGGTACGCCCACAGCTGTCGGTGAAAACGTCTGACCCACCGGTTTACCTTCCCCGTTTCCCCCCACCTCCCTCAACAATCTCTGCCTGTCTGGCAAATGGAAGCCTGACTTTAAGCGATGGAAATTTTAATGCGCCAATGCGCAATTTATGATTATTTCATGCTCGTTTTAATTTGCCCATTCAGCAGCAGCAGCAGACCGCTTTAAAGTGTTCGGGGGGAGGGGCAAGGATACTTGTAGTGTTCGGGATTGCAGCTGGTGGAATGAGATAGCGGAAAATCCTCATTAATTCCATGCACGTTTTTGCCCAGAGAGGAGCGATGAAGAGATACGAGGCGGCCGCTAATAAAACAAAAATGGAAAACATATAAATCAGTGTCCTTGGCACGTGTCGCTGTCGTCGTCGAAGTCATTTTGGTTCCCCAGGTGTAGGCCCCATGGGTCAACCTAAAGGGTCTGTTCCAGCTCTTGGTATCCATGGTATTGTTGGGAGGGGATCCCCTTCTCCATTACCACTTTTGGACTTGTGCGCTGTCACGTTGTAAATCTCACGAGAGCAAACACACGTAGGGGAATAGGGAATCCGAGAGTCGGAGACAACGCGACAGACGGTGACACAACATGCGTGCTTAGGCGATCTTACACTGAGGGAAATGTGAGTTATGTTTAAAGATAGAAGACAACTTTTCAATTTCTAAGGAAGTCATTGAGAAAGGCTGCCCAAATTATCACCAAATATATATGTATTTAAAATTTATTAAGATTTCTTTCAGTGTACTTATACAACACACTCTCAAACATCCTGAGAAGGGAAGGTGTCCACGTAGGGGTTAAGCAATATGAAGCTGTAAAGGCTTGGCCCCTATGGGGATGTCTTGAATCCCAAAAGGAGTCGATACCAGTCAGAGATTGCATTATAAATTAAAATACGTCAACGCAGCGAATCAACAGCTGCTATCCCGGCCAGGACAACCCATCCAGGACAAAACCATCCACATGCAAATCCTACCAGGCTGTGAACATGTGAAAAATAAATACTTTAATAGATGCACCTTAATTGGCCTTGTGATAGTTTATGATGCAGTATGGTTTTCATAGGATGTTTAACCTGACAGTAACTTTAGCCTGGAGATGTAAAACTTAAACCTTAAAAGTTTATAAACATAACAAACTATAAACCCCATTCAGATCGGAATAAAATAACACAACAAATACTATAAAACCAAGGATATGTATAGATTTCGATGGCTGCCTGGCACAACCCTTTGGCTTTTAATTAAACGCTGGCAAACTGTGGCCATGTGCAATGGAAGAATCACGAGATGACAAACAGAACCGAGGAGCTCACAAAGCGAGCCAATACAAATATTGTTCTCCTTTGGTTTCGGCATTTTTACGTTACCTTCAGAAGGTTCAAAGTCGTAGCTACTGTTATTTGTCCGCTCAAGCGGAGTATTTAATTGCATCCCAATGGAGCGCACTTGGGAAAGTGCAACGGGAATCGGTAAACAGCAGTGGAAACTGGAGGAAATGCTGCACAGAGAGAGAGAGTACGTGGGTTGAAGTGGGTAATCGAAATTTTTCCCGGATCCTTCATCTTCTTTTTTTACCCAGACAAAGTTGTAAAAAGTAAAGGGGGAAACTCTCCAGCTGACAAGGTACAGGGCTCTCTCCTTTCACTCTCTCGAGGGGGGGTTGGGCAATGGCAAAAGAAAATACAACTATTTGCCAGAGTAAACAAATATTTACATATGTTTGTTTAAATTTTATGCTTCGCCGGGTCCTTGCATTTTCTTTGACAACTTTCTTTGTGAACTTTATTTTTTGACAAATTAGTTTGGGGGAAGTCAGCTTGTCGAGTGTGTGCGCGGGAAAGCGGGAAATGCACAAAGGAGTCGTGTCCTGTTGACATGAATAAAATAATCTAATCATCTTTCTTGCTAAGACTGCTGGCATACAGTAATCTCAACGGGTTTTTCCTTTATTCAATTACCTACTAAATTCACTTTGATAGGTATCTAATGCTTAACAGCAAACCCACTTGATTTTCATTTATTCACTTAAGACCTTTGGCTCCCATCATAATTTTAACTTTTCATCGGTTTTCACTGAATTTTCGTATGTTCTTGGTTATTCTGAACGGAAATTGTGAAATAAATTGAAATGCCAGGCAGGCACATAAATTATTTGCCAGTCAACGGCTGAGAAAAAATAAATAAAAATAGAAATGCATTTTTTGGTTAGATCCTGAAGCTCGGCACATGTCTCGTTGGCAAGTCCATAAAACTATCAGCAAAATTTTGCTAGAATTTTAAATATTTATGCACTGTACGTGAGCCACATGTTTATGTGTGTGTGGTGGGGATTGCATTTACCATTTTCCATTTTCATTTATCTTATTTTTATTTTCCTTTAGCTTGTTGCCTATGCAATGGCATGATTTGTTTATTGTTTTAATAAACGTCAGCAAATTTTCTTGGGCTTTTAAAGAAACATTTTGGCCTGCCTGCATGTGCGTATGATTAATGTGGCATTGTCAACTGTAGTCAGAGAAAAACTCTCTCTACTTTCCACTTTCCAGCCAGTCGAACAAAACTAAATGGAAAAACGGCAAAAGGGAAAAGGAAAAGGGAAAAAGGCAAAGAGAAAATGGAAACTTTCAATGCAACCAAATGCAATGGTACAATGATTTATGGCCCAACTTGAAAATGGACGATTGTTTCACTCGTTTCGGGAACTGGCATCCCATGGAAATTGCTGGGATTTCTGTGCGGGGGTGTTCGTTTTGGAGGCGTGTCCCCGTGGTGCTTATGACCCTTGCCATTTATTTAACGTACGCGAACAGCGAATCGTGCTGAGATTTCCTCGATTGGAAAAATTGAATTATAACCATTTGATGAGCATAATAAAAACTGGCAGCTGCCGTTGCCAATGAAGGCCTTTCAAATGGCTTGATTTTCGGGGTAAAAAATGTAGTTTTGAGAGGAAAATATAAAATTCTTTTTTTATACTTTTAAGAATTTTTATTTTTACATTTAATTTCAATAATCGAATTTATATTAATTAATGTATCTGGACTTTGTAATGATTTTTACTAACTTTAAAAATATAAATCCTATGCATGATCACCATCTTAAATTCCCCTTTTCAGCTATATACTTAAACTAAGCTCCGGCTTATAGTTTTGCCCTCACATACACGCACTTTTCACATTCACTTTTCCCGCCGACGGCGTTGGAAAAATCCCCACCACCGATTGACGCGAGAACTTTCAGCCAAGTTTATTGCATCAGAACGCAAAGCCAATAAAAAAGGAGGAAAAACGGAACAGGTCCATTTAGCCGGAGGAAAGGCGATCTCCATGGCAGTGTAACCCGCTCAATTGAATAGACAAAGAGGGGCACTCAGACATGCTTTTACCCCCCTCCCCCTTTTAACATTCAATCCTAGGAACATAACCCCCCTTCCCTCTGTGCAGGAGGTGGCATTTCGAACAGGCTACCAGAAATTGGCAAACAGGTGCATGGAGCCCAGAACTCACCTTCTGTTTTGTGCAATGGCCAAAATGGATGGAGACAGTATGACAGCCAGATTGCAGGGGATCAGAAGTGGTGCAATTGGGGTTTATTACACTGCGAGAAATTTGCATGGGAATATGATAGAAAGTGCATTCTAGCCTCTGAATTATAGTTTCTTAGGTAAGTTTTTCAAAAATTATGAAAGAAAGCTTAGAGTTATGCATGAATGACAAAATACAAGTTAAATCAAAAGATTTTCCTAACAAAAAAGTAACTTCCTGTTCCCAGTGTACTAGTAGCTTAAAATAGGAGGTAGCTCAGAAGCAGAGTCCTGAAGTTTGGCGACGTCGGCCACCGTTCGTAATCCACTTTCGCATCCTGCTCTTCTCTGGCCGCCTTTCGCCTTTGAGCCGCAAACATTTTAGCTTTTATGGACTAAAGGCGCAAAATATGACTGCCAGCCAGACTTTTCCATCGCACACATGCAAATGCAATTTCCAAAAATTTTTCTACGCCGAAAAAACTTGTCCATGGAAATGCGGTTCACAAAAGCGAACCCAAAAAATTTGTTGTTTTTGTAGTTTTAAGTCGCTCGATAGCAATCCCCGCCAGTAGAGAGAAAAAAAAACCAAACCAAAAAATGGGAAAGTGGTGGAAAAATTGAGGGAAACTTTTCGCTTTGCCATAAACCGATTTGGTAGCAAATTTTATGTCGTTTAGGTGGAAAATTTCCATTTGACTGCCCTTCGCGGGTATCAAGGAGCTCTCCGACCATGGAATCAGCTTTGTTTGTTCGTTTTTTTTTACACAGACTTATTCCAGCAGTTGCAGTTTATCGTTAATTGACATTACCGAGGGTCAAAGGTAAGTGGAATGGCATCGGACTAATTGAATTCCAGGTGGGCGGAAAGTGGAAAAACGGAAAAGCTATTTATTAACCCTCGGCCAAGCTTTGTTGAGCGATTTAAAGTGAATGAAATATTGAAAGGTGTATTTATTTTTAAAGTTAATGTTGCTTTTAAAATGTTGGCAAAAGCGGAAAAAATATTGTTTATATTGTATGTTGCATACTTTTAGGATGCTCCCTTAACTCCGCCTTAACTGGTATTATTATTGTTTTAACTTCCACCAAAATAATTATAATTGTTACAAAATTGTTATATATTGATAAATACTATAAAATATATATAAAAAAAACCTGCAATCATTGCCAGCAAATAAAGAGATTTATTTGACTTTCAATCGACAACGCATTTACAAAGCTTCTCTCCTCATTTTTTATGCACCTTTAAGCCGTAGTTTTTGTATGATTTTTTGCATGATGATACTTCCTTTATGCCAAAACATGACCAATTCGTATCAATGGGAATCGGAATTGAAGGCAGCATCCGTATGTGCAATCGAGTGCATCCGGCGGCAGATGGTTGTGGGTGAGTGCGGCTGTCATATGCAACCAGTTGGGTGCGATGGAAATCCGAAACCTGTTTGTCCAGTTACCAGAGCCTATATAGCGGACAGTGTATAATGCCCGCATGCAGAACAGTGGAAGTGTTCGTGTATTTATTCTGCGCGTATGGCGCGCACTGTATGCCCGGACTGGCCAAGCATAACTGCATAAATAAACGAAACCAAATTTGCGAAATTAATTAAATCGACAGCAAAGTAACGTGTGCGCTTTGCGTTTTACGCTTTGACTGCGGCCAGTTTACAACCCAAACAATTCAGCCGTTCAACCACCCATGGAACCACCCAACCACTGAACCACTGAACCACACACTCATCTCCACTCCGCTGGCACCGCAATTCAGAATTGTGCATTGTGCGGATGACGCCGCTGTGCATCACATTTGAGGCAGAAGCCATGGAAACCTGAAATTAAGCCTGTCAGGCTTAAAGTTTTTTTTACAAATTTCCAGAATATCCATTTGGGACTTAAATGGTAACGGAAAAGGAGCTAGAATCAAGCCCAATCGTGGTGAATATTCAAAATATTATAGCAATAATTACAATTTAGTAATAAATTACCTATAAATTGAAATGCATTTTAATCCCCTTATCATTTTACTACTTATTAATGTTAAAACTACTAAGCTTAGTCTCATCAACCAGAGTACTTTGTACATAAATCCCCAATAAATCTATGAGCTGGGCCATAATTTAATGTATACTACATGAGAGTATATCAAACCCTTCATCCACCTTCCGGCAAACAGGATAATTTCAGCGAGTCAGCTTGTCCTGCGGATATATCTGTACGAGTATATCGGAATACTGGCTTAATCTCTGCCGGGAGCAGCGGCATCAGTCGGACCATTGATTTGCATTTGCACAACTCATTAAGGATTCACACTTGCCCAGTGTTCCTCACCTCCTCCCCCTTACTCTCTCTCACACACACACACACACAGACATTAACGCTTAAATAATTTAATGTTCGGAGTGTTTCAACATCGAAATTTGCACATCGGTAGTTAGAGCTGCGGGCGTTTTGATAAGCAGCCACCATGTCAGCCAATTCCCATTATTCAGATCGACTCAATCGGCAATTAATGCCATTCCGATTTCCTGATTTGCCTATATATGTATATGCCCTACGAAATGGAAGCATATGGCCGGATATGTGAAAGAATAGCTGGCTCATTAATAACCGAAGCCGACGTTCATACATCACTCATACGTCACGTTGGTTAATCCATTCGTCAGATCCAAGGAGAATGTGCGTGAGGCAGGATCTTACCGAGGCAGTCCCCTTTTGACAGTCTGTCTAATCTGTGCCTATGGATGTGTTTGCCTCCATCACTCGCATCCTGTGTTTGCGGTATCAATCACAATGTTAATCCCGATGTTTAGGCCAGATTATGTGGGGGAAGCTCGAAAGGGTTTTCAGTGGTTAGTAAATGGTTTCCCACACCCATTGATTTTTTATTTTTTAAAAATAATTTAAGAAGTTAAAATGTTAACCCTGCCTCTTATGTCATTTTCTATAAATACATTTTGATTTTCGGACCTGGGCGCTTGCCAAACCCCGAGAAAACATGGCCAAGAGATCTCCTGCGCCCATACCCCAAACCCATGAGCGCACTCCGGGTCCAAGGGGTCAGGATACCAAGGGCAACAATGAACTGTTCCTAAAGGAGGTCTTCAATACTACCAATAAGTACAGGGCAATGCATGGCTGTCCGGCCTTAACCATTAATGCTGAGCTGAATAAACTGGCCCAAGAATGGGCTAATGTAGGTTGGAAAATTTATATGAATTTGGTTATAATATATATTGACTATAATTATCAGCACCTTCGGGATAAGAACATAATGGCCCATCGACCCAATCCCCGATATGGTGAAAACATTTTCCTTTCCGGCGGAATGGATGTGTCCGGAGATTTACCAGTGGAAATGTGGTATCGGGAGATGAATAGCTATGACTTTGCCAAGGGACAATTTGCTCCCACTGCTGGACATTTTACGCAGCTGATCTGGAAGGCCTCCAAAGAGATGGGTTCGGGTGTGGCCAGAAAGTGAGTTTATACCTCTCTCTCTCACTCTATATTTATATAATAAACTGATTTATTTATTTCTTAACAGAGCGGATAGAACTTGGGTGGTTTGCAATTACAATCCTCCCGGCAATGTTGTGGGCATGTTCAAGGACAATGTGCCTCCTAAATCTAAGGACTAAAATTATTTTATTCATTGATTAAATATAAATTTTAAGTATGTAAATATTTTGTTTCTTTTTTTTACGTTTTCCATGCTATTAGCAGTTTTTTTTAAAACAATTTTTAGATTTAAACACGTTTTTCCTTCTTTGGTAGATTAAGCTTAGAATTTCTGGTTTTGGTTTCCTTGGTATTTTCCTTGACTAAAAGCCATCTCCTTGGTAGAACATTCTCCTTGAAATGTCCACTTATATTGCCAGGTGGATTGTAGTTGCAAACAATCCATATGTTAGAATTACTAAAAGTTGAATTCATTTAGTTTAGGAAGTTTTAATGCGATTTTTAAAAACTTAACTAACTTGCAGGCCACTCCAACTCCTAGGTTTTCCGTTCCTCGCCACACCATCTGAGTAAAGTGTCCTGTGTACAGATCGAAGCCTGGCTTAAGGTAATCATAATTGTACTTCTCTTGATACCAGAGTTTCATTATTTTGTCCACACTGAAAAGTGATCTACGGGCACATATTATATTCTCGCCGTAAAGGGGAGAAGGTCGAGTCTCAAGAAGGTTCTTATTAGCCAGGTGCTAAAGGGATAAAGGATATTTTATATTTAAAATAAATGAATAAAACTAATAGAACGTTCACCCACATTAGCCCACTCCTGGGCATGGGATGTTAGTTCTTCATCCATTTTAAGAGCCTTGGCATTGTGTAGTTTTCGGTACTTATTAGTGGTCTTTAGTATAGATACTTTAATTGCCTTTGGTGGCAGTTTTGTTTCAGATTTAACAAATTGCTGTACCTGATTATCAATTTTGTTAACTGGAATGCAACTTTTTGTAGAGGTTTTGTACTTTGAAGTTCTACAATCTACATATCCTTTGCCAAGTGATAGACTATCCTTTTTCCTTGTTTAGTTTACTTTTAAACCTGTTATAGCTTTTGCAGGCAATGACCTTGTGGAATTTGTAGAGTGTGATCTCTTAACATCACAGGCCAGATAATTATGCTGATTACGATATACTTTAAAAGGTTTCTGGCAAAAGGGCGTTAGACAGCTGCGACATTTGGCTAAATCCCCATTCCTTAGATCACAGGCAATGAATTTCGTCGTCTTTGTGCTGAATTAACTGAAGATATTTAAGGCATTTCTCTGGCTGCTTTTCATTCTCCATTTAATTTTATTTTTTCATAATTTGTAGAAATTTTGAGAGGATGAAGCAAAATGAAACGGCTGCCCTATTTTCCTAGTCCCCAGCGGTTTTTATCCTGCCTTTTCTTTCATTTTCATACTGTTTTCTTGCCTTTTTATTTTCGGCGACAATTTCACGTCACACATCATTAATTTTAAATTTCTGTCATAAATATCCGTGTGGGCGTGGATGAGCTTCGCGGGTGGCTATGGCTCACAAAGGTGTCAAGGTGAAATTATGGTAACAGCGAGCTCTCTCTTATTCTTCCTGTGACCTCTGACCTCCCCACAAGCTGGCCTGCTTTTTGATTGACTGTTTGTCACTTGGGCATGGAAATTAAAATGGAATTTTTTACGCTCGCTGTTTTTCGGTTGGGGCTAAAGAATGGCGATGAATTGAAATTCAAATAAAAAATATTTACGATTCAATTTCCATTTTGTATATTCATTTAATTTCGGTAATTTAATTGCATTTCCTTTTTTAATGACTAAAACGCTTGAGGGCAATGAAATCATTGGCGTAATTAAAGGCATTAAAATAAAAGCCACCAATATCAAGATCAAAATTTAAGACTTTTAAAGTATTTCATCGTTTTCCATTTTCTAAAAATCTTTAAGCATTGTTTACCATTTTTATAGCCATACCTATAGCAATCTCTGCTAAATTGGATTAACACTAGCTTGTTACCTACACTGATTCGCAGGGAAAGGCTATAACTTTGAGCCCCCCGTAACCGTAACCGTTAACCCAATAAACCACTTTTAGGGGCAACAACCGAACGGCGTAGGGCTTTTGCTTTTGGCTTCAGTTTCACACCGTCAACAAGTGACAAGCACACCATGGCAAATATCCATAGACATATACAAACACACATACGTGGTGTTACTGGCATCACGTCAAAGTTGGTTGGCATCATGCCACAGAAATTTCAGTTGGCTGCTACAAAAGCGAAGTCAACAAAAATGGAGAAACGCTCGAAACAACAGCTGAAAAAATCGGGATAAATTAAAAAATACACACACTAGGGCGCGGGAAAACTTCCGGCAAGTAAAAAGAAGTGATCATCGAGGTGGCCCCCAAAAAGTATACTATGAATTTTTATGGCGAATTTTCGGGGTTTCGTTTTTTTGTTTCAATTTCAGCAAGCAAATGACTGACAAAAAAGGGGGTAAGGGGAACCCTCTCTGGTGTCCTGATGTACGTGATGTTACCATATATTGCACTCCCGAAACCATGGCATCCCAGAGGTGCCAGTGGAACAGGTCCTTTTGGGGGATCCTTCCAGGGTCAGGTAGGAAAAAATTAACTTGATGCTGCGGCAGCACGTTTGCTGGAATTTAATTATTTAAAACACACATTTTCACATTTTTGTATTAAATTCATTTGCAGATTTATGCATTCCCACGATTCATGTTGACCTTTGATAAATTAATCGCAATAAATGCGGTTTTGCTTGTTTGGGAAATTTGAGAAATAAAAAGTTGAAAATATATAAAACTTTACATAAAAATGCTTAAATTATATATGTAACTGACAGCTGAAAGTAAGCTTTGGTGTCTTTCTTATTAAAATTTCAACTTTTAAGTGGATAAAACCACACATTCATTCGCCTGGAGTTCCCTAACGTTCTTTGTGCCATTTTACACCTTGTCGAATGGTTAAATGCATTCAACTGTCAAAAAGCCGCAGACAAAAGTTCAATTTAATTACCACAAAGGAAAATGGGGCAACAAGAGGTGTGGAATTTCCATTGGTGGCCCAAAACTTCGGATAGCAAAGTCTGGCAATGAATTCCACCGACTGCCAATGCGTTTTTACAATGTAATTAAGCAGACGGTGAACTTTTATTTTTTTTTTTGTATTTGCTTTTTCTTGGTTTTTAACCAAGGGTAAATGAGGTCAGGGGGCAGGTTGGCAGGTTGGAGGCTGTGGGAAAGGGCGAAGGAAGTTGCTATCCTTTTCCCGCTCGCACTTTCTCACTGAAAGCTTTCTTCGTTATGCATTGTAATTTGCGTGTAATTTTCAAGGCGTTGGGAAAAACGTGGAAATGCTTCTGCAGCAACAGCGGCAATAATAATTGCAACTGCAACTGCAACAACAACAACAACAACACCTGCAACACCAACACCTGCAACAACAGCAGCTGCTTTAAGGCAAAAGTCTCATTTATTTTAATGTGTCGACGCTGACGACGTGCAAATGTCTCCCAGTTTTCCAGCAGGTTTTTCCCTTCACTTTCTCAGTTCGCCAGCGAGTTTTCCATGCTGAAATTGCTCGCAGATGCAACGGCAATTGTTTGCCAGTGTGCGTAAGGCTTTTCATGTGTGTGTGTGTGTGTGTGTAATTATTAAGCTGACAATGCAGATGCTGCTTTTCCCGCTGATTTGGTTGCAGGGTTGCGTTGCCAAGTTACTCGTAAAACCAATCTTGGTCTTAAAATCCATATATTTTACTTAACTTAAGGCAAGATAGCATTCCATTAAGGGATCAATAATGAAATTAAACTAAACCCCCCTCCTTGATCGTGTCTGCAACCCTGGCTTTATTCGCCATGTCATCTCTCTCTCTCTCTCTGTGGGTCAAACCCCTTATGGCTCATGGCTGGCTGACAACGGTCATAACAATGCCAATTTTAATGGTCATTACAATAAGGCTCATAACCATAAAAAATGCACAGCCAACGAGCAGTGACAGCGGGAACAAAAATGCGGGAACAACGGCGAGAACAGCGCGAGGTATCATGAGCATTTATTGGGCTTACGGGTCGTATTAATAATATCCATCTGTGCTGCACTCCCCAGATCATAGAATGAAATGCAAATGAATTAAATTTCAATTTCCCAATACAAGCAGGAAGCAAACAACAACAGCAAAAAAAAGGGGGGGAAAACAAGTTGCGTACATTTTATGGGTAAACGAAAACAATTTGCAAATATTTTTGTAGTTTTTTTCGGGGGTAAGGCCAATTTTGTTGGGGATTTCATATCGCTTTTTTCCATCGCTTTAGTTTCCACTTTTTTCACATGCTTTGTATACCTCAGCAGTATGGGACTTAAATTAACCAGTAAAGCTTAAATTAATCTGATCAAAAAAATGTTTCATTCAATTGTTATCCCAGTTTAAAAACATTTAGTAAACTGGCAGTGCTATCTATCCATATTTTAAGCAAGGGAATATTTGCATAAACACTAGGGGTGTTAAGGAAATCACAGACATTGTTCCAGGAAACTATTCCTACAAGTTGATTACCGCAAACCAAGGGACCACCGACGAATCCTTGACAGGCCAGAGGTATGATGCCCCAAGGAGCAGCGCAGATCTCGTCTAGAATTATCAGTCTGCCCTTCAAAGCGTTTCGTGCGGTGCACATAAATTGTTGTTGGATTCTAAGATTTACTCTTAGCAGTATTTCTGAGGGCGGAGTTAAGGATGATAGTTGACCCCAACCGGAGACAGTGGCCTTAGTTCCAGGTGCTGGCACTGAAGTGGCCAAGGGTATTGGTTGGACATTGAGGCCCATTTTTAGAGATGACTGTAGTTGGAGGATGGCCACATCACTGGGCCGCAGACCCGTTACTTGCATTCTCATTTGCTTAACATTCACCACGATACCTCCGATGTTTTTTAATGAAGAACCAACTCGCACTGATATGGTTTTTATATTGGCTTTTCTCACACACTCAGCTATGGTTAAGATAATATTCTCGCTGTAAATTACGCCACCGCAATGATGTTTGCCATTTATTTGGATTGAAGCCTGCCAGGGAACCTGTCCTATTGTGATGGGTAGTTCATCTAATAGAGAATCTGATAAAATTGGAAATATTGATATAGCAATAAGAATGACTTTGAGCAGCATTTTGGAACTATGATTGTTATTCCAAGGGCAGAGACCACAGAAAGCTTACAGAGTACAATTTTTGCTCATTTTATAAAGTTTTAATCTATAGGGAAGTTGGTGGGTGCTTTGTTAATGCAAAAAATGAACAATTCAACTCAGAATTTTAAAAAAAATATCAAGCTTTTGTTTTAAATAAGCAGGAAAAGTTATTGTTTTTTACAATCATTCGTTTTATTTTTAACACACAAAAGAATGATTCTTAAAACAGATTTATTTGCAGACAGCTTTGCGTATTCATTGAGATTTTACAGTATATATATATACTGAAATATTTTTAAAGTACTTTTTCTTTTTGATTTTAAAATTTTAATAATTTAAGAAAAACTAAACTTTAAATTTAAGATATTTAAATATTTATTTTTTCTTTTTTTCCTATTTCATTTTTTGTTTTTTATTCCCCACCAGAATAAATCTTCTCATATACATAACAATAACAACTTCAACCATTAATTTACCAGTGAAATGCTTTTCTTTTGCCATTTCTTGGAAACCTCTTACAGTAATTACGATTATCAAGCATACGCAGTGGTGACCATGGAAGATAAATTATTTACAAAAGTGGCAAGCAAAGTTTATCTTTTGGGCGACAGACAACAGTTGCCATTTGGTTGTTGATTTTTATGAAAGAATTATGGCCTCGCCTTTGGGGGTGAAAAGCCGAACTAAATGGCTTCCTGTGGCTGTGCAGTTCTTTTACAGTTTTCCCGCTTTCCCGCTTTTTCCACAAAACCTGCTGTGCAGGAAGACATATATAAATATATATATAAATATATATATTTAGTATAGTTTGCAAATTGTAATTTAAAACATTCTGGATCGTAGCCAAGTAATAATTTGTGTTGCATTTGTGCATCTCGGTCCTGGCAACGGATTTTGCATTTTGAATTGTGAAATGGAAATGGCGGAATTGATGCGCTCGACTGCACTGAGCTGGGGTCTTATCCGTGGCAGGAGACCAGCTGGAAGGAGGAGTTGCCATTGTTATCCTCTCTCTCTCTTTGTGTGCTCTATTTTTCCAGCAGGATGCTGGCATATCAATGCGACTGCTTGAGAATAGCATTTTATTGCTTCAAACAACATGGAAAGTCAAGTGTTGCAGTCGCGCGAAATTGTTCTCCTCTTGGTTTTTCTTTTATATTATTTTCCTCTCTGGTTTTGGGGAAATCGGTTCGGCGCAATAAATTCTATTAAAATGCAATTTGAAGGCTCTGTGATTTTAAATAATGCCAAGAGCAGCCATCGGGTTAATGCAGACAATCCGTATTCTTGGAGCTTTGTTATCCTGGCAATCGTTTCCATTTTTTACATTTTTTTTTTTTTTGGCCCTCTTCTTTCAGAGATTTATGCAATCTTCTGCTGTTGTTTGCTCGCCGGATATTCGAAGTATTTATGGTCTATCCGGAGGGTCCTTAGCTAATTGGGCTGTCAATTTAATCGGAAGTTGTTGGGGCTTATCTTCATAGATTTTCCTTACTTTTTGGCCGCAAAATGGGCTTCTCTTCTTTTGTATGTGTGAGTAGAGGAAGCCAAAAAGGCTAAACCACAGCCAAAAGAAATTGCAATTTAATTAATGCCCAGTGAGAGAGCGGAGATTAAAATAGTTGAAATGTCATTAGCACGGAGTGTAGTGCAGGGTCGTCGGGCTCGGGGCCAAAAGGCATCAAGGGGTCAACGTGTTGACCACACAATTGTGTGGTCACGTGATGACTTTTTGGCGCTGCTCTTGTGGTCATAATTTCAGCCACAAAAAAAAAATAGAATTACCAGGAGATGGAGCAAAGAAACCGCATGCAATTCGCTGACTCCGGGGATTGTCTCCGTCGTTTTTTTTTTTTTTTTTGCTTTTTGGTTTTCTTCTGCTCTTTAAGTTGGGCCGGAGTTCGTGTTAAAAATTCATTAGGAGTTTTAATTAAAATTCTCTCTGTGGCCCACAAAGGCGCTTTCAACACTTAACGTTCTGACAGCTCACAAAAGAAGTTTTTGCGGGACAAACTTGGCAAATAAAAATGAGCACAGAGCTGTTTTATTTTTTTTTTTTTGGGCCAAGCATTGCCTTTGCAGGCTCATAATTTCCAGGCAACCAAATGAAAAAACTGTGGGAAAATGAGCGAAAATAAATGCGGGGGGACAGCCTACATATGTGACCGACGGCACTTTACATGCATGACTACATGTCCTTTTGATATCCTGTTCAGAGTCGCTGTTTTTTAAACTTCCGCTGGCAAATAAATGAAATGCCATAAACAAGGTAGATATATTTTTTATTTTCTTTTATTTTCCTTTTTATTTTAGTTCACATTAAATACAATTTTAATAACAAACAAAGTTGCATTTACTAAATTTTTAATCTGTACATTTTTGGCAATATTTTCTTGACTAAGCTAAAACTAGATTTTCTTATGTTTTCTATTACCAACAATTTCCCCCCTTTCTTTGACAACGTCAATGTTTACGCTTAATTCAAAAGTAACAGCTTTATGTTTGAAATTTTGAAATTGTCTGCCAAATTAACTTATTTTGCATAATGTTAGCTGTCAATTTTCGCAATTACGGCAGAGATTAAAGTCCTTTTTTTTGTTTAATGCCCAAGCCATCGCTCAATGCCATTAATAATTTGGGTCCCAACACCAATTAGTTGGCTCAAATAAGGGGGGGGATATTTTGGGATTTTTAGTTCTGTAAATGAAATTCTCCAGTGAACTGCCATGGCCACGCGTCATTTGATGCATTATAGTGACATCGTGGCCTCCATTTTAGTTGGTGTTCCATCGACAATGCCAGGCGCATCGCATAATCATAATTAGTTTTGCATAATTTGACCCACTGGTGTTTTGGTAGTGAAATTTGCTGATGTAACCCCACACCACCCTCGCACGATATTCAATTACAAACATTGCCAAATGTTCTAAACATTTCGAGTGTCTGGCTGAAATTAATTTGTTTGTGTAACTGGGCAAACTAACACTAGTCCTGGTCCTGCTCCTGGTTCCCTTGGAATTTCCTAGGTGGAGGTGTGCAAACAAATTGCGTACGTGTACGGGCAGCGAGGTCCTTTTCCTTTTGGTCCTTTGGTAATTGTAATGCGAGCAAATAAACGAGCCAGTGCCACACACGAATATTCATACAACAATAGTACGTAGAACAACCATATATGCACGAAGGACATTCCACACACACACACACACATACAAATGCCAAATGGAGATGGAGTGAAAGGCAAATAGCGACAGGACAAATGCTTGATGTGGGTGCCTTGTTATTGTCATACCCTCCGAACAGCACAAATTTTTAATTTCAATTTTTCTCCCCCCCTTCACACTTCACACTTTACACTTTACACTTTCAGTTCGAAACAAGTTGTGCTACAAATTTGAATTTATGTCCTGCCAACACCTGCAATATCCTGCTGTGGTCAGCTCCATTCTGTTGGGGCTTTCATTTTCATTTTCATTTACGCTTTTCGTTTGGATCGTATAAAGTTTTGCCAGCACATTAGCTACATATGACACCTTAAAGTGTTTACCTGTTCAGGGAGGGATCGCAGTCCCAGCTTGGGGGAAACCCCTGATTGGATATCAGAGTGGGGAAAGAACGTGTAGGACTCGTTGCTAAAATTGAATTCACAAAGTTATGAATAGTTAATAACTGTGGAGAGAAGGAGGATGTTATGGGAATGTTGAAGAAAGAAAGAAAGTTAAAAAAAGGAGAGAAAGATATTGCAACTTGGTGAGGGTTGCAGGTAAATCGTTTTGGTATGTCGTTTAAATTGTGACTTGAAATCAAAGAAGTGAGACAATGTGCTAGAAAATATTTAAAATTAAACTAGTTTGGCCTCAAAACAAGTTTTTATTTAAAGCTAATCTGGTTAATAACTCTCGAAGGCCTTCATTTACCTGTCTCTTCTTTTCAAAACTGCAAAACAAAGACATTGAATCCCAACATAAAACAATGGTGATGCTCTCTTCATATCGACAGTCACATTGACCAAATCAATGTCCAATTGTCAGTTTCCAAGGCTGTGCTATGGTGTCCAGACTTGGGCAAACCATGACCCCGATCTATCCAATCCATTGTTCCGACATCGACTGAATTATTAATCAACAATAGGAACGCGCAGAACAATGCCAATGGAACCTAACACTTTCCCGCTGTCAAATTTGGACTCGACATGTGTGGAATCGGATATATACGTCTTTATATACCCCCTATATAACCCCTAAATACCCCCCCTGTATACTCCTATATACCCCCCTAATACCTGACTGCTGTCAATGCCATCCACACTTACTAGAGTATTTTTCGTTGGAACAGTTTTCGTTAATTACTGCTGACTAAGGTTGGGCAGAAGAAGGAAGACACTTTGTTGCCATGTCCGTAAAGTGTCTGTTTCAATTTTTTCGGTAGTCGAAAAGTGCAGAGGGAAAATAATATTTATAATTAATTAATTAATAAATAAAAGAAGTTTTTAGAATGTTTAACTTTGTAAGAAAAACAAAAACAACTGCCAAATGCAAACAAGTAATGTTTCTTCTTTAACTTGCAGGATGTATAGGTTAGTTTTTTATAATAAGAAATATGAAATTTCATTGGTTTTATTTTCTTAGTGTATATAGAAGTCCTTTGGCTGCAGTTCCTGTCAATCGATGTTGCAGTTGCCGTACCTCGATTTCATTTTGGTTTCGCTTTTGTTTTCCTTTTCGGCTTCGGTTTGGCATCTCTGACCTATAAATCATCTAATGGCCGGGACAGGTTGGGTTTTTGTGGGCTACTCGGATTGTGGATCTGGATGGACATGGGGGGGGGATAGGATATTGGGATGGATATGGGTATGGAGGATATTCCCGCTTCAACTTTGCTAGCCCCGCACATGTGTCAATATTTGTGCGAAATGCGGCCGCAGTCTCATCGACACAAACACTCTCCATCATCCACATTCGGTTTCGGTTTTTGTGGGTTTT